AAAAACAAAGGAGGACAGAAATTAGTGCCTATGACTATTGCTAACTCTAGCTGGCTACTTCTCTGCATACTTGACTTTCTCTCTTACTGAGAACACACGTCTCTTTCACTCCCTTTTCTTAATACCTCTTCTGTGTCTCCCCCTCCTCATATGATTCAAAATGACTGGGATCAGATACCAAAGATTGGGATAATTAGACACTGGTGGGTCAGGAGTTGGAGGGAGTATTTGGTGAGAATGGCTAATAGAAGACAGGTTGAGAGTTATGCCAGGCATTATTAATTGATAGCACAGATAGCTGTTCTACAGTTTGTTGTCCTTGTATTATTCGATATTTTCACCAAAGTATAGATAAGGGAAAATAAGGGAGAATGTTTTATAGTAATAAAAAAATCCCATCCAAATAGAAAATGCAACATATATAAATCTTTATGCACCAAATGACATAGAAGCAACATGCATAGGCAGAAACYTTTAGAAAAACAAAGAAAATCTGATGAAAACAAGACTTTGGAAGACTTTAATAAACATCTCAGATTTGACACATTAGCCAGGCAAAACACTCAGGATATAAAGAATTTAAAACCATCAAAACAGTAAGCTTAAGAAATGAATATAGAATTGCATGCCTTACAAATAGAATTTGTATTTTTCTGACAGAATTTATTAAAAAATTGATTATGTTTTTAGCTACAGAAGAAAAGTCAATAGATTTCAAAGTGTAAATACCTTACCAGAATATTGTCTGACTATGAAACTAGAAACCAATAGTTTGTACATTTTAAAAAACACTCTTCTAAATAATTCTTGGATAAATTAAATTATAAAAACYATACATTACTTAGTGTACATTCTGAGTGTAAGCCAAATTTGCAATATCAAAACTGGGAAGGCCATTGAGCATACTGGATGGCCAGTTGGGATCCACTTATATAACGACAAGCTGTAAAAATGGACAGACACTAGTGAACATGAAATCTAACAGAAATGCATTTGAGACCATCCTCCATGTCCAGAAAGCTAACAGCAGGAGTACACGTGGAGGAGATATGATGCAGCATCACCATCTGTAAAATAAAAACAGTCACATGGGTGTAAGATTTAGAGGTTTTAGTTGACAAATTGGTTAAGCATTCATCAGCTTTGACATGCTACCAATAAAAGTCAATTTGATTTTAGGCTTCATGGGTAGATATGTGCCATCTAGAACAAGAGAGACAATTGCCAGCTCTAATCAGACTCATGCACTGGGCATTCAGTGTGGGTTCCACAGCTCGGCGAAGATGATTAGAGCCCATTCAGAGAAGAGCAAAGGCAATGATGTAGAGACTTTAAAAAAAAAAAAAATCTGAGACACAGTTGGAGGAAGTAGTAAGTTTGGCCTGAACCCAAGGCAGCTCCTTGAAGTCTTGATGCTTTTCTCAAACATATGAAGCACTGTTATGCAGAAGAGGGGTAAGGTCATGAGAAGGCAGATTTCTATGATCCAGAATATTCCAAAGACAAAAGGAGTGCATGAAGAGATAGCAAGTTCCCTATTGCTGGAGGTGTTCTTACCAAGTTGGGTAAATACTTGATTGTGGCAAGGATTTTAACACTGGAAAAGAGAGGTGGTTGGACCTTGCAAAACTCCCAACCCTGAAATTATTCAATTCCCCTAGAATACGGTATTCTCTCAATATGGCCCCTGAATTTCTGAGTCTGGTACCCCAAATTGCTAATTAAGCAGAGTCCAACATTAACATTTTTCACACATGAAGGTTTGAGAGTATATGACTGATAGAGATAGTCTGAACCCAAGTGAGACCTGAAGAATTTGGGAATACTGAAAATTAAACATCTGGTAATCAAATGAAGACATTCAACAGGAGTTCAAACAAGGGTTTGGTGAGGGTCAGAAGGATGGGAGCAATCCTCCTGGAGAAGACTACAAAGTCTGTGCTGGTATGCATTAGGCAACATGAGTGGTTTTAGAAATTGTGGTACAAAGATTATCTATGATATATATAAATAAGCAAACATGATGGTTCTCTCTCCTTTGATGCAGGATGTGGCATGCCTGGTTGGAACACTGCATGCCAGGTGTGCAGATCCTTTCAGAGTGTCTCTAACCACTGCTGCTTTCACAGCCCCTGCGGAGCTCCCTGCTGACACAGGCTTGTGCTCTGCAGTTCCAGCTCACATGCAACCTACGTCTCTAATGCATTGCTCTGACAAGAGCTTTTATTGACCAAGCTTTTTCTTCATTTTCTGATTGCCCCTGAGCCTTTCCAAACCCAGCAACCCTGTTATCCTTGAAACTAAGACCTTCTTCCTCTCAGAGAGCACTGTTCCCTTGCCCTCCTCAGCTCATGATAATAATCACAAGAATAAATAACCCTGTAAGTTTATTTAGGATGTGGTGTTTCTGACCAGTGCACATCCACTTTACTGTTTGTCCTGACAATGTCAGGAGGAATGCAGGGCAGGTGCTACCTTYGATGGCAAGAGGTCAGAGCACTAGCCCAAGGTCACGTGGAGGAAATGAGCCAGTTCTAAAATCAGAGATTAGGATCTGGGACTTGTGACTGACCCCTGAGTTGGCTCAGTGACGCAATTGGTTGGAGTAGCACCTTCATGTTCCATGTTCCTGGGACTGACATGTTCTAACTCAGGCTTGTCATGATGTCATTTAAGCCTGCAGAGTTTCCCAGGAGACTGGTATTTCCAAAGGCTTGGTTCCACGTTTGAGTCTGGCTGAGCCCAGGATCACCAATGCCCACATAGAATCCCAAGGTTCCTTGGCTGTATAGAGGCTTTGTGAGCAAGGGCTGGCAGTAGACACCATTTAGAGACTCTATCTGCTTTCCCTCCATTTGTCTATAATGGTTTGTAAAATAATTTAATTCATGACAAGCAAACTGGCATGTGAACATGAAAATCAGAGAGAGTGTCAATTTAATCAAGTGAACCTCCAAGCAAAATTAATAGAAGACTTTTAATGATATCATAGAATTAATGTCCTGYATGGTTATTAGGCATAAATGGTAAACAGTTTACATGAATGTCTGTAATTAGCATTGCTTTAGCAGAGCCAAATCAATTTTTAAGTTGCTCTCATCTCACCTTATTAGTTCTCCAATATTTATATAGTTGAAATCACTAGCTAAAATTTTCCTTAATACCCTTTGCTACCTAGCATCTGAATTTCTTCAAACATGGAAGAGAGTTCCAGGGACCAAAAGAAAATCATCTTGCTTTTCAAAAGTTTCTTCAAACTGTATCTGTTTCTGACTCTAAAATGTTTCTATTCAATAGATGGGCTTTTTCTTCTTACTTTCCCTCCAGGATTTCCTTTTTAATTGTCATGGGTTAGCTGAAGCAAATGTAACAATCTTGAACACCTGTCATTTACCAAGAAGAGGTGTCTTTCTCTTAGCCAAAAGATACTTGTTACATCAGGGATAACAAACACATTCATAAAGACAGGGTCTCAGTTCATGGAGGTCCTGGAGGACGTCCATCTTTGCCGAGCATACCCAAAGGCCATTGAGGTACAATTTCTGAATGTCAAGTCTCTAGTTTTGAGGGTACAGCCAAGAATGGCTACTCAGAGGTTGGTGCTCTGTTTTGAATGACCTTGACTATGGAGACTCACACCAAGGGTTCTGAAGAGCTGGAAGAATGCCAGTCAAAATGGCACCATGTTCATTTCTGAGTCTGTGCATGTGGCGCAAATGTACCCTCTACTGGCAATAAGAGAAGAGGGGACAGAATTGGTCTGTGATAAAGCCTAGGACACAGGGAAGGTCTAGCTCTGGATTAAAGTCCCAAGTGGACAACCATCATTTTTTGTTCAGAAATCTTCCCAGTACTTCTTAGAACTGGGAAGTAGGGCCATTTTCTCAATTATTGAAATCTCTTGGATTGGGGCAGAGTGGGCTTGCCATCATTAGCATTTATAATGGCAGATGACAAACTTTGGGATGTGTCTGTGCATGTGTGTTACACATTCAAATAGGCCTTAAGAGCTATGACGTCAGCCTGTTCATGGAACCAGGAGTTCTCTTGATAGGAGGGGAGAGGTCAGGGAGTAGAGGCCCGAGAGAGGTGTATTACTTCCTGGTCAGAGAAAAGGTATAAAATGTAAGTACTTGGATTTTTTGATGCTTCTTATGATAACTTCTAGTTCAGGTCAAATGGTGATGTTGGGTCCTTCCTGTTTTAATTTGTAAGAGCATTAGAAGGTGAGCCTATTGTTAGGAGAGAAAGAGGAACAAAAAAAAAAAAATCATCCCTGAGGAAGACCTGCAAACCTCATCCCCACAGCTTTGTCTTTTTCTGTAGAAGCAGAGTTCCCAGGCGCCACTCACTTTCTGTCCTGGGGGGCTCTTCAGAGCAGGGAGAGGATGGCAAGAGTGAAAGTAGGCATGAGGACATGGCGTTATCATCACCAGCCTTTAATCCATTATCATACAAGAATTATGGATCTCACAAACTTACACACACAATTTCAGGGAGAGTCTTCTGACAGAGCAGTGTCAGATAGTGCTGATGTAGACAGGTAGAGAAAGCATCGAAACTGGAAATGAGGTAAACCAAGACACTGAACAGGAGAGAAGCCCACACAATGTTAACTTCATACTGTCCCCAAGTACAGGGATCAGCAGAAGGAGCCATGGTGAGTTTGGCAAAGGCTGGGGCCTTGAAATAAGGCAGAATACAGGGAAGATGGGTCCAAGGAAGCTTCACTGAGAAGCATCTGGATCAGCTGGGAGTGGTGCCTGGGAGATGCAAGGAGGAGAGGTCCCATGACATCTACCAGCAGTCAGAGTAGGTCCAGCTGGGCCTTGGTGGTCTGCATACCTGTTAGGTCAGCTGATCCCAAGGGACTGATCCTGCAGCCATGGCTGACCTGATCTGTCAGTCACCCCCACCACCCACAGCTCTTGGAATTATCACTGTGGGATAGGGGATCTCGGAGCAGACCCCATCATACTCTCCTTTTGCCACCTCTGTAGGAAAATCGCTGCTTATGATGAAGAGATCCAGCATCTCTATGAGGAGATGGAACAACAAATCAAAAGCGAGAGGGAGCAGTTTCTCCTGAAAGTGAGTGTCCACTCCCTGGGCTTAGCCAAGTTGACATATTCACCACCTCTGAATGTAAGATTGCAATACTCCTATTGGTAATGCTACTTTCTCCGTTTTATTTTTCCCCAAGGCATTTGTCACCTTTGAACATGAGATATAATGTAGTTGTTTATTTTTATTGACTGTTGTCTATCTTCCTCACGTGTAAACTCCACAAAGCAGGAATCTTTTATCTTTTACTTACTAATATCTCCTCATTTCTTAGGTGATGCTTAGAACATAGTAGGTACTCAACAGATATTTGTTGAATCAATGAATGAATGGGCTGATGGATGGATGGATGGATGGATGGATGGATGGATGGATGGGTGAAGGGATAGATTTCAGGGCATACTTTACCAGCTGAAGTAGCCTGGAGATTGGGTTTGACATTGGCTGGCCCCTAGACCTATGTAGCAGACTCACTCAAATACACCAGCCCATTTTACTCCATGCCCCAACAGGACGACCTTTGGAAATTAGACTGCTCATTCTTTTCCCTTAGACACCTAGAAAATGTAATAGTCAAGGAAAAAACCTCAGATACCATGGGAGAAAATGTGAAGCTCACATCCCTTGTTCCTAGTCTGACACATACTTGGATCTTACCAAGTCCTGCTGTTTATCTTGGGAGGTCAGGACTGGTGAAGCTTTCCCTTACCAAGCTCAGCAAGGTCTTTTTGGAATAAGTTCATTAAAAAAAAAGAAAAGAAAAGCTGAGGGCTGGGGATGCAGGTCAGTGCTAGAGTGCTTGCCTAGCACGCACAAGGCCCTGGGTTTGATCCACCGCACTGAAAAAGAAAAGGAAAAGAAAAGCTGTGGAATAACAGCCTCCACTGCTTCTCAGCACTGAGCCTGGGCTGTTGTCCCAACCCCKTCCCTTGGACCAATTTCTAATTTTATGCTGCTTCAAATTATCCACACCATTACTCCACTTATTATCACAGATGTCATTCAAACTGAGAGAAATTGGAATGCTTCTCAGACAAATACAGCCATGTTCTCCAACCATAGCCCCTGGAGGCTTGTCAATGTGTTTGGACCACCCTGATTTTCTTTTAGAGCTTGGAAACCTCTGGCTGTCCCCAGTTGTTGAATGTGCGTAAGCACTGCTCACACCCTTCCATCAGCAAATCTAAAATAGTCTCTGCAACAGCAACTTCCCCTGGCCCCTGTGATAGAAGAGCCAACTCTTCATCCCAAATGACATGATATATAGAGGGGACAAGCTCTGCAGGCATTTTGCCCCCTCTACCTGGTCCATGCCTACAGGCTGAATGCATGTTTCAGACGCTAATGGTGGGCCTTGGTGAGGAGGCTGGGAGTGGACAGAGGTCAGAGGAAAAATTCAGGAACAAATTAGGACCATTTAGGATCTGGCTATGATGCCATGCCCCTTAGCTGTCCCCTTGTCTCTTCTTGAATCCGAATACCCAGAAACCTCAATTCCCATGAACATGGGAACTCTTAAYGATGCCTTTGGTGGTGCTATTAAGCATTTAGATATATGAACTTCTGCCGGGCCATAGAGTGASGATAGTGATATCACAGTTTATGACATTGTGGACAACCCTCTAACCAGGTTTGGATCCTGGCTCTACACTTTCCAGTGGGTTTAGTCAGAATGAAAGTTAGTTTTTGATCACTTGTACCTCCAACTCCAGACTGAGAGTAGCATGAGCATTTTTGTTTTTACTCCGTGAGCAGAGAAACAATGATCCAGAAGAATGATACAATTTAATCGGGAGATTCAAGGGCTAAAGCCAAGTCTCCTGAGGTCCCACTCAGGGCCCTTCCACTAGACCTGGCTCTGTTGAGAGTGTCAGGCATCCCCACACACTTTCCTCTCTATCCCATAGCCAGCTCCCTTTACACCTGAATCATTAGGCCCTCAGTATCTCTGAGTGGGGGAGTCCAATCTAAGGCTGGAGGGGAGGGGGTTGCTGAGCTCAGAGGCAGAGATATCACAAGCAGCAGGGCCTGGGAGACTCACTCACAATGGAAAATAGTGAGGACTCAGACTCAAGAAGAAGTGTTTGGAGAGTGAGGATAAGGTAAAGTGACCCAGTGGCAGTGCCCCATGTGGAAAAGAATCTCCAAATTGGAAGGGATTTTTGAGACCATCTACCTCCCCCTTCTACCCACAATTTACAGATGAGGAAAGAGAGACCCAGGATTTCAGTGAGACCCCTATTCTTCCTGTCCAGTATTCTACCACTAATTGACACTGGGTCAATTTGGGGGGATGGAGGAAAAGTGGTGGTGCATGGGTATGGGACATGGTCACACTTGGTGACACTTCACATAGTGCCTCACTGAGCTCTTGTGCTTTCTCTGTCTCATGGGTCCTTACCTATAGGGCAGGCAGGTCACCAAAGCCCTGGAATGTGGTGGAAGGGCCTCAAAGTACAAAGGGGCGGGTGGCCTGTCCTGCTGAAGAGTAGTTTCAAGAAGGACAAGTCTACAACCCAGGTGCACTGTGTGCCCCATGCATCCCCTCTACCCTATTTGGCAGGACACGGAGAGGTTCCAGGCCCGCAGTCAGGAGCTGGAAAAGAAGCTAATTGCTAAGGAGCAGGAGCTGGAGAGACTCAACCAGAAGCAGAAAAGGGTATGTTTTGCCAGTGTCCTCAGAGTATCAGGATCTTTCTTCCACCCTTGTCTGTGGCTCTAGCTCACTTTCCCTGCCATTCACTTATGAACTTTTAAATTTAATCCAAGAAGAACCATATGAATGTACAAGGTAGCATTTAAAGTCACAGGGAAAGCTTTGCTGGTCCCAGGTAAAGCCTTTCTTCTCCAATGCCAGGTGTTTAATTTGAAAATATCACTAAGAATTCCCAGAGGAAACTACAGACATTTTCATGGAGTCATGCCCAGGGGCCACGAGAATGCCAAAACTTGAACTTATTTGGAAAAGGGCTTCAGACAATTTGCTCCCCTCCAGGATGCCTATGGACATCTCTGGCTTGAAAAGGCTCTTCAAAGTTTGGTGTGCCCCTTCCCTGCCTGCCCACACACCTGGGCAAAGTTCTTTAGGCTCCATAGCCCCCATCACCCTGCAGGATGGATGCAGGCACAGACACTCCTCTCTGACTGCCTGACCCTCCAGGAGGCAGACTAGATGGTGTGCTATTCAGGACAGTGTCATTGTGGCTAGGGACACCTGGCTCACAGCCCCAGGAAGACTGATTGCCTAGGAGAGCCTCAGGCTCAGTGGTCTGCTTTCTAAAGTAAGGGCTTATGGGGGAGAGAGGCTAGGATGCCTCTGGCCTCCTGTTCATTTTGCCTGGTTCTGGAAGGAATCCAGCCCTGGAAAGACCCAGACACTTTGCTTCCCTGCAAATAGAGAGAACTATTTTTAGCAACACATTAAAATAAGCTTAAAGCCACCCCTGCTAAGGCTGGGGACTGTGGCTGCTGCCCAGCTTTGAACTTGGGTTTCGTTCTTTCTGTAGCCAGATGATGTTCACTCCAGGAACTGCTAGTCGCCTTGCCAGTCCCCGTCCACAGCAGCACCTTGCTTCTCCTACTCTTCTGCCTCCGCCACCACAACACATTACATCTTAGCAATTAGATTTATTCCTCAAATGAATGATTGCCACTCGATTTAATTACTGCATGCTTGCCTGATTACACAGGAGCCTCTTGAGTGTTGCACAAAATTCCTTGTTGTTGCTTCCTCCTCCCTTTACTGGCCACATTCATTAAACGGAACTTATTGATATATTCGCCTTGGTTGGCCGATTCCTCTGGTGAGAGGGTTGGAAGTCCTGCAAAGCATCATTCCTAGCTGAGCGAAGCCAAAGTTATCAAAATACAGGATTTTTATTTGCTTTAGGGACCTGAGAAAATGTGGGGTCTATGAGACCAGTTTTAGTTATTCCCTAAGAGTTTCCTAGGTTTCTGGAAAGATTTTTTTTTTTGACAGAGATTAAAGGAACTGAACTTATTTAGCTGAGAGATAACAATGGAATAAACAGACTTACACTCAGCGTTCATAATTGGGAAGGATGGTTTTATGAAGAGCGCCACTTAACTGTGTCAAGACCAAGGAAAAGAAATTAGCTTAGAGGACAAAGGGATTTAGGTTAGATCTCAAGACTATTCTGACTTTGGGATGAGAGACATACATGGATTACAGAATTTCCTTTGCTAGTGGTCCTTTTGAATGGAGCAGTCCACGCCCCTCGCTGGCATGTTTAGTGGTCCTATGAAGACAGGGGAGAGAAGAGATGTGCTCCAAAAGCTTCTTTCTCAGTGCAGGAGTGCCTGTGTGTCAGTGAACAGCAGAAAATGCTGATTTAAGCTGGGGACCAAGGAGTGGGGGCAGTGATGATCCCTGTCTGCCCACCCAGGAAAGCAAGGAGAGGCCTGGGCAGGTGGCTTGCTGATGATGGTGGCTTGTCACTGCCCTCTGCTTCCACGTTCCTTTCCAGCTGGAAGGCCAGTGCACAGCCCTGCATAACGACAAGCACGAGACCACRGCTGAGAATACCAAGCTAAAGCTTACTAACCAGGAGCTGGCGCGGGAGCTGGAGCGGACCTCCCGGGAGCTCCAGGATGCTCAGCAGCAGCTGGAAATCCTCCAGCAAGAGGCCTGTAAACTGCAGCAGGAGAAGGAGCTGTGAGTACCATTTTGTACCCTCCTGCTGTTCTCCCACCCGCTTGACTGCACGTTATCTCCCCTCTTAGACTCCATACCCTTGAGCTCTTTCTTCCCTGATTCTTCTCCTAACCCCCTTCTAGAATTCAGAGACTGTGAAGCAGTCTGTGCCACGCATTACCTGGGATCCACAAGAAACAGGTAGCCCTCATCTCAGTAAACTGATTACGTGGCTAGAAAGACATGCTATTCCACCCATAAATGTGCAGCATTCTATGCAGATGTCAAGGGAATTGACAGACTTCTGAAGTCAGCAGGTAATTTGATAGGTGTGTGGCAAGTCTCTGAACCGGTCACTGTAGTTCTGCCCATTTTCTCCTAGCAGAGTCCTTCTGTGAGCCCAGTGGGCCCAGTGCAGGGAAGCCCACCTCTCTCAGGTCTTGATTTGCCTATGAACTCCTTTTGGCCTCTGACCATTGGCTCAGTTGGCTAAGCAAAGGCACACCTGAGTGGGAACCAAGGGGTGGGTCTTATGTTAAGCTAAAGGGATTGCTATAAAATCAGTTCTTTATCTTGTCTTAGGCATGTTAGGTGTTCCAAAAAAAAATGTATTTTGAGACCAAGGCAGAGATATCTCACTTGTTTATTTGCCCGCTCATTTATCAACACATTCATTGACTTTTTCATTTGACAGACATTTATTGCAAACTGTTCCATGCTAGGTATCACACAGAACCATTAACATACTCATTTATATTAATAATTTGACATCATCTCATTTGATCTTATAGCATCCTGATGTGGCTGGTACTATTATAAATTCTGATTTACAGATGAGGAAACCAAGGATCAGAGGTTTTCAGTATCAGCCTCAGGATGCTGAGTGTTAGACACACCCTGCTGACACCCCCAGAAAATAATGAGCCAGCCAGAAAATCCTTACACAGGAGTGGGACTGGCCATCATTCACTTACTTATGCCTGCATTCATTCTGCAAAAAGTCATTGTGTGTCTGGTCCTGAATGGTGCCAGTGAACACTGAAAGTCTTATTCCAGAGAAAAGTCCAGTAGTGTTTACTAGTGCCTAATGCTTTGCGTATGTTTACACCCATTATTAAGTGAAAGCCCTCACTCTCTTTGTCTGACCACTGCAAGATTCTGGTGCATAGGCCTAAATCAAATGTGCCTAAATCAATTTTGTTCAACTGTGGAATCCTGTACCATTTAGATAAGGATGCAAGGAAGGAAATGTGTTTGGACTGGAAATTTTACCCTAGTAAGAAGATCTCCAGTTTGAACAAATAGAACACTCCCAAATAGTTGACTTAAAACAAAGCTAAGCCAGGTTGGTCATCCTATCGCCTAGGGAGGCTGAGGCAGGAGGATCTCAAGTTCAAGGACAGCCTCAGCAACTTAACAAGGTTCTAAGCAACTTAGGGAGACACTGTTTCAAAATAAAAAATAAAAAGGGCTGGGGTTGCACCCCTGCATTCAATCCCCAGTATAAAGAAAGTATAAACAAAACCACAGCCAAGGCCTTCCCTTCCAACTCTTGGATGGCCAGTTGAGGAGGGGACCATGTATTTCATTATAAACAAGCAAAATCAGTTCCTCCTCATTGAGAGCAGGTCAACAAGGCATAGGCATTTAACTTTACAAACAGAATTAAGGATTCAGGCTCTTAAAATTCAATCAAGTTCTCAAAGCAACCAGCATCTGAGGGCACAACAAGCATTAGAACAGCAAATGGAAATCAACACCCAGAGCTGCAGCATTGCAGCTCAGCGGGAGATCCAGAGCCTCCCAAGTCTTATCTTAATTAACCAAGCCAGGCACAATCCCTGGAGGTCCAGAATTGAAAGGAGGGAGGGGAAGAGGGTAAGAAGGAAGAGAGATATAGGATCCCACAACCTTCACAACTCCTTTATCAAGAAATATTCTTGTGCAGCTAAAAGCTTTGCTGGGTCCCAGAGAGCAAGTCCCACCCAGGGAGCCCCAGGGAGAAGAGCAGGGGAGCCCCAGATTGTTCTCTGTAGAATGGAATTGCAGACCAGCACCACTGACAGGATCTCAGTGCTCGAACCCACCACCTTCGCTTTATGCAGGAAGAAATTGAGGCTCAGAGAGGGTAGTGGCCACCCGGATTCCACCCGAAGCTAGCTACTGCCAGAAATCAAGGACAGAGGCTAGTTCTTCTGATGTTCCTGCGTCCCCCTGACAAAGTCTTGCTTCCTGATGCTGCTCCAGAGCAGCTGGGAGGGGAGAGGGTGGGGTTCAAGGTAAACAGACTTAGACACTTATCAGCAAGAGTTCTGTACAAGCAAAATTAATTTTCCTGTTCTCCGAAGATGCTCAAGGTAGGAGAACTAGATTTTAAAATGAGATTCAGGAAAGAACTCTCAAGCTGGGAGATAATATAAAGATGAAGGTCAGCTGATAAGCATTTCTCTGTTTATTTTTTAATTAACTTTTATCTTGAGTGGATAGTTTATGACAAGCTCAAAAGCATAAACACCCAAAGAGGTGTATGCTGCCCATCCCCAGGACCAGGGTCTCCTGTCACCCAGAGGTCACCAGACATGGTGGGTCCTCTAGTGGGTCCTTCCAGAGTATGCTCCATTGTGTGTAAACATGTGCATGTACACACACACACACACACACACACACACACGTGTGTGTGTGTGTTTTTCTTTAGGAGATGGTAGCATACCAGGCATTCTGTGCTGCTTAATCTTGCATTTCTCACTTGACAATATATTTTGTAAAGTGTTCCATATCTCTTCTCTTTCCTAAAAACCAAGCCAACAGCAGTTCTCTAAAGGGACCCATAAACCTCCTGCCAATGACTACAACAAAAAATAGCAGGTTCTTTCTCTTTCAGTTTGCATATTACCAAGGACTAGAATTTGTGAACCTCTAGCTTAGAGGTTAAAAAACAGCAAGCCAAATATCCACATGTGATTTTTTCCCCAGAGCCTTTCTTTTTATGTCAATACACAAAAAGTATCTGAATATGTGTGTGGGGGTGCATGCACTTTTATCTAAATAGACATGTGTGCACTGGACAAGGAGATAACACATATATTTGCACAAGTCTTTCCATCCAAATTCTTGGATGGCTGGTTGTGGAAGGACCATGCATTTCACTATAAACAAGCAAAATCATGTATGTCCTTCCCGTGTTTGTGCATCTCCATCCATCCACTGGTGCTGTAGACAGGGCTGGAGAAGGTCCAGAATGCATTGTGATTTAGGAATTGGCTTCTCAAACACTCAGTGAGAACCCAGGCCTTGGATCTCCAGTGGGTGATTTTTCCTCAGTAGGGGAAAAGCTATCTGCTGTAGCTATCCCGGGAGAGAGGCAGGAGCCAGGGCTGGGGTGGGAGAACCATAGAGACAGGCACAGGCAATTGGCAGCTCCCAGGGCACAGAGGGAGGAACAGGCAGATCGGCACACTTCGTGCTAATCAGAGCAAAGTCCTAGACCAGAGTTCGGGGACCCGATTTGGATAATGAGAAATGCATTGTTTTCCCTTAAGTTGAAATTAAATATAGTTGGTAATAAAATGTGAGGAATTTGTGGCTCTGTAGGAGCCAGAGAAGTTTTACTGCTTAATTAGGATTGTCTGAGGTGAACTTGGAATTTGATTCAGTCTGTTATTGTCATAGAGTGACTTCATAATTATTCCATAAAGGAGAAAAAAAAGAGAGAGAGAGAGAACATGATTCCTCTTAAGGAATCCGATTACTGGGTACTTGGCAGGACAGTTCTGTGGACCCAGTAATGACATCAATAGGATGGCAGAGGGGTGACTGCCCTCTCAGCCCAGTGAATACAGGCCAGGCTGCCTGGACTCCTTGCCAAAAGTGGCCCCTTCATCAGGTTGTAGGAGGCTCCTATGCTAACAACTGTGCTGTGCCCTGGGAGTGTGCACTCCAGGCCTTTGCGGTTAGATTGGGGAGTGATTTGAAAATTTCTAAACTGTGGTTCAAAGTACAGCAACATGGTGAAGCAGGTTTCCCGAGGTCAACCAATTCTGCTTTATATTTTTCTTTCTCTTTCCTTTGCCAGTGATGCTGAAGACCTCCCAATTCCTTCCTTCCCTCTTTCCTTCCTCCCTTCCTCTCTTCCACCTTCCCTCCCACCCACCCTCCTTCCTTCTCCTCTTCCTCCCGCTTTCCCCTCCTTACTTCTCCCCTCCCCCTCACCTCATTTCTTCTTCCTGCTTCAATTTATGAACCAGGTCTCCAGGCCAGGCCCTGGGTGAAGCTTGTAGGGCATGGCCTCTGTCTGCCAGTCTGGGTTGTCCTTCGGCCCCTCCTCTCTCTCTCCACCTTTCTTGAGAGTCCTGATATGACTGATAAGCTCACACTGTGATATAAATGAGTGATTGCAATTGATATATTCAATCTTTCTATTATAGCCAGAGACTAAAAAACCCTGTCAAAGAAATGAATGCCCAACAGTGGAAAAATTCCAGAGATCTAGGAACATATTAGGGATTTGAGGGGGAAGGTGGAAGAGGGGAAAGATTTCTTCTAAAGCCCCCCCAAACAAACAAAATCAGCATCTAGTAGGGTGTGTGGGATCATGCAAATTTTGCTCTCACTATCCAAGGTCAGGCTGGAGAAGATTAATTCCCTAGAGTCTAGAGAGGACAGGATGGTCTGAAGCTTGGAACAGTGGAACAGGCACGTGACCTGGAATGAGCAGGTTGGGGGCAGAGGTCTAGATGTAGCTGTCCATGTGACCTGGGAGAGTCATCAAGCTTCTCTGACTGTCCCTGTCTGTTCCACAAGGATGTTCTCATGTTCAGATACAATGTCTGGAGGAGCCCTGAGCTGAGGCCATAAGCACCTGCGTGTTGTACGTGCTCTGCAAGGGAACGTGCTCTCCAAGGGAAGGTCATGTTTCTCCATCTGCTCTGTCCCGAGTGCAGGCTGTGCCTGCTGGTTTCCAGCACGAGGGTTCCCTCCCTCTAACTTCAGCACAGTGCCTCAGATCCTGTCACCCCCTTCCCTCCCTTGATGGCCACTACTCATCATGTTGACCATGCTGTGTCTGCCTCCTCCTCAGGGAAGTGTACCGGGTGACAGAGAGTCTACAGCGGGAGAAGTCTGGACTTCTGAAGCAGCTGGATTTCCTCAGGTGCATGTGGGGCACATCCCAGAAGCCCCAGGTCAGAGGGCCAGTCTGAAAGTTCTTCACTGCCTACGTGCTGAGAGACTGCTCATGCCCCTGGTCTCCAATGTATGGTTTATAACTGAGTACTACACTCTGTGATGAGTCCTTTTGCACACTTTCCCATCACCCTGTACAGTTTGCTCTTCTTTGTGGATAAGCACTGTCTCATTGTTGGGGTCCCTCATTGTACTGTGCATAGTACTTGCTCAAGTAGGATTGGAACTGGATTTATTGAGCAACTACTTTATGCCAGATACATTATCTCTTTCATCTTCAACAAAGCTGTTAGGTAAGTAGGGCAGTTGTTAACCCAGTGCTTCACTGATGAAGAAGTTGATATTAGAGAAATGAAATAATTTATCATAAGAGACATAGCCTCTCACTGATGAGCCAGAATTGAAATCCATGTCTGGATGATTCTTTTTGCTCAGTTGTATTCAGCTTCTGTTTGTGGACTGAGTAAATGAACACAAACAGCACCAAGAAAAGAGTTTCCTCAGATTTCTAAAAAAAATAGCATTCAAATCTGGAATGTGCAAAGAAGAAGAAGAAAAGGAGGAGGAAGAGGAAGAGGAAGAAGAAAGAGAAAGAAAGAAATGAAGGGAGGGAGGGACAGAGGGAGGGAGCAAGGGAGTGGAGGAGGAGAACAAGAAAAACTCATGTGGGGTAAAGATGGAATTTTCAGTTTTGCCTCTGAGGTTTCTATGTCACTGTACCTGCTACCTGCTGGTCCCCTCTTGGACACAGTGATTAATCAGAAGGGCTCTGGGTCCTGATTTTTAAAGAATATGTGCTTTGTGAATCACTGCCCAGATATGTTTTGGTGTTTGGTGTTTTGGCTTTGTCACAACAAGGCTAGGTCCCCAAGTCTGGTATCGATGATGGAGCCAGATGGAAAGGACCCTCCACTTAGTTCAGGCACTCTCCACTCAAAGCCTCAAGTAAGCCTGCATTTACAAGCAGGGAGATGGAGGGGGCTCTTAGGTGGCCAGATTCTCACCCATTTAGAGGAGATCTTATTCTTAGGCAGGCTTTCATGAAAGGAAGAGAACCAGATGTACAAGGACAGGTTTTTTATTTCTTTTTCTTTTTCTATTGCAAAGAAAAAAATAGAAAAAAAAATAATGAAAGGACAGTGCTCTATAAATGCAGAGCAGACCTTTTTCCTATTACAGTGAAATCACCAGGAATCCAGGGGAAAGATAATGCCTGGGGTGGGGAGGGGAGGGCAGTGGGAATGTGGGGGTAGGCCTGGCCATGGGATCTGAACCATGGCTGCAACATGGCATGTGAGGAGGGCTACCGGCCTAACAAGAATGGGAGCAAACAGATGCAAGTTCAGGACAGTGGCCTGGGAGCAGGCACCTTGGAGTTGGATCTGGTTCCAGACACTGCCCCTCATGGTCTTGTGTAACCTTGGGTAGATGACTTAAGCAGCTGGAGCCTTAACTTTCTCCTGCCTAGCTCATGGGTGACTGAAGAATTAGATGATACGTGTGAATGAGAATCCTGACAGGGCAATGGTGTGGATGAAAGCAGATACATATAAAGAACGCAGTGTTTCTTTAAATACTGAAACTTCTGCATGGAGATGGCTACACAAGGCAGGAAACAGCACAGCTTAAGGTGTGGCATCTTAGGTCCCCACGTCTCTATGCAGGAACAAGCCTGCTTATCTGCTGCCTGCACAGAGCGAAGGTCCTTCTGGCACGAGCATTTCACTTGGCCATTCTCAGAGTTTCCAAAATACCCTCCACGCCCCTGCCCCTGACTTGTCCCAAACATCTTGGCTGTACCCACTCATCTGCAGGTAACTGAAAACAACTCTGACATATTCTTAATGTTTTCTGCAAGACCAGGGAAATTGGAGGTCAGGTGTCCTGGCTGCCATTCCTGGGGTCTGCCTAAAGTCTGTTCCTACGGTTTATAGCATGCTCAGCAGAATGCCTTGCCCACAGTAATAACCAATAAATGGCTGCATTAGGGACCTGACCATAACCATGCCTGCCCTTCTCCTTCAAAAATGTGCATCGGTTCAGAGGCCACTGGTCCAGTGAGTCACAGAATCACAGAACTGCAAGGCCAAGGCATTTTGAAGTCACCTGTTCACCCTCCTGACCACTTGCATTAAGAGATGAAATTGCCAACATTAACCTCAAGTGCATCCTTCAGTCACACTACATCCAGAGTCTACTCACCATCACCCCCACTCCTCTTTCATCAAGCCTCCAGCTCCCCTTTTCACCCTCATGATTAGGCTCCTGGTTCAGAGACAGCCAGAACCATTACACAAGAAAGATCTTGCTCCTATGCTGATCTGTGCCGATGTCTCTGCCTTCTTTGCTGTTGTGGTGGGTGAGCCCCTTGTTCTCCTAGAAGAGACCACCCCACCCTACCCCTGTCCCCAGCCTGTGTTCTAGAATCGATCCTACCTCCTCTCACCTCCTCAAGGACTATTTGTTCTCGTTCTCTTCCATTGTCAGTTCTTTCTCTTTGGGGAAGAGACCTGCAAATAGACTCTAACATTTTGTACTTAATTAACATCTTTTGTCTTCACTTCCCTATCCAGGTACTTTCCATTTCTTCCAATCCTTTATAACTTTCAAAAAAGTCATTTTCCTTTACTGTCTGTATCCTTTTCTTCACATTCTTAACCCTCCACCATCTTGCTATTGTTCCATTGAAATGGTTCTTATCCTCACTAAAAAATTACTCTGCTCTCAGGGTCCCTCCCTTGTTAAAGCTGTAATCAGACTGTGATGCCCTCTTAGTACTCAAAGTTCTTACAGTGATCCACATGCCACTGTTCATGGGCAGTGCCAGCTCGCCCCACAACACACACATTTTTCTCTGACCTCATCTCTTAACTTCTCTCCCTTTGAGCACTCTATGCTATCCTGTTTCTCACACACACCAGCCACATTTCAACTCAAGGTTTTGCCTTGCTCTGCTCTTCCTGGAATGTTCTCCCCAGGTACCTGCCTAGATCCTCTCCTCCCCTTGAAGTCTCTGCTCAGAGGCTGCCTTACCATCAAGGCCTTTTCTGACCACTCTAGTTAAAATAGCATGCCACTCTCCTCTTTCCATTTGCCCCCTGTATCTTCTCAATAGCAGTTATCCCCTGAGATAGGAACTTGGTGTTTTGTTCACCAAATTGAGCATCATACTCAGGTATGTGTCCTTGATAACCATGTATGTTATTCCCATGTATGTGTCCTTGATAACTAGAACAGGGCCTGGAAAGTAGTGGATGTTCAGGAGACATTTGAAGAATGAATGAATGATTCAGAAAGGAGAGGCCCATAACAAGCCCAGAGGGGGAGGCAACCCCTAGTAATGGGGACCTGGCCTGAGCCTGAAGAACAGTGGGGCAAAAAGCCATTTGTCTCGTCCATTTCCTCGAGCTAATTTACATACAAACTCTCCTGTCTTCAGCCACTTTCTTAAGGAAAGACAGTGCACGCTCCGGGGGCCCTCTACAACAGGTCTTCCGCTGCACACAGCTGAGCAGTAAATTGGCTACTATTGGGTTGGCCAATTGCAAACTCCATATTTGAATACCTTTCCCCTTACTATCTACAGGGAAAGGAACAAACACCTTCGGGATGAACAGGATATAAGTTTTCAGGTAATTGGCTGATGCCCCTGGGGGGTGGGAACAGCAGGAAACAAGGGTGGTGGTCCAGAGGCAACCAGATCCATGCCTGGACTGACCCAAGGTCATCTAGATATTTGGGATGAGTTTTGTGTTTTGGATGTGGGCAGGTCTATGGCCTAAGATGTTTTGCCAATAATAAAAATGTAAGGTAGACTACTGGGTAAGAGTATGTGAATTTTCCATGAAGTAACACACCCTCCTCTTGGCACAACAATTTGGGTGGGCTACATATTTCTTGGATGCAGAAATGATAGTTCCTTCCATGAAATGGCACAGTTGAAATGTCACTATCACTTTTAAATCAAAATGTTTAGTTTCTTGCTTTCCTTTAAATTTTGCATTTTTACACTGCGATAGAATAAATTAAAAATGCATATATTGCTATTTACATAGTCCATTTTATGTGCCATTTTGCTACTCTGTAGGGGACCCCTCCTCTTCCATATTTGAGCATCATACTCATGTATGTTATTCCCAAATAACATAAAATCCTATATTTGTGTAGAGGTCTTCACTGTAGGTCACATGAAACAAAATCTAATATTTCATGCTCCCCTGCTCATCATTCCCTTTAGAAGTTGCCATTGAATTCTCTAAGGGAAGAAAAGTGGAGCAAGATTGATTGACATGTCCTCCTAATTACAGGATTATGTGTGTGTTCTTGAGAAAGTCATTAACTATCTTGGACCATGACCTACTGTCACATGAGGAAAGAGAATCCCTATCCTTTTGTCTTCCCATGTTCTAGAAGTTTTCAAGAAAAGTCCTTGGAAAGAGAATAATGGGTACTGGACCTTTGGCTAAATAGTAACCTAATTACCATCAGCCTAAGGCAGCTAGATTGCCCTGAACTGGTCCCAACCCAGTTTTTACTGCTAGTCCCTAAGGAACTTTGTAATACCATCATTTCTTTGATATTCCCAACCGGCAGCAAACGTCTCTGCCACCCACCTGTGTGTACTATCAGAGCAAGGCTTAAGCCTACACATGTTTGCTTGATGATGATAATGGTTATAATTGTTTTAGAACTAACACTGATTTTTTTTCAAACTTTCAACCAAATGTCATCGTAATCCCTTGACCTCTCTTCCCTTTACCTGCCAAACTCATTCTGCTCTGAAAAGTGGGTAGAATGAAGAACTCCAGTGGGAGACTGAAGGAAGAGGGATAAAATCCTGTCGATGTGAATAGTAATTAAAGATTCATTTGGCATCCTTAAAGCCATACCTTCAGGGGCCCTGGGAGCTCGCAGCACCTCTTCCCCTCATTAAGGATCATTGGGAATCATGGGATGACTGATTAATGAGAGGTTCTTCCTGTGCTCTAACACCCCCCACCCCAACCAACCCGTCTCCTAGAAGACATCTGTTAGGGAGCCTTGGCAAAGGGGATCATAAGCCTCCACTTCACTCAGGTTCTGTGTTACAGATGTTTGAGCAGTTTACACCCAACCTGCTAATACAAGAGATCTGAAAAATTTTACACTAGCATAGGAGTCATGAACAGCATGATGGACTGGGTTAATTGACCCTCTAGGCTAGTCCTTTTCTCATCATATTGGGGGATTTGGAAAAAAGAGGGATTAGAGTGTGATTTAAAATGCACAGAAATGGGTGGGGAGTGCAGCTCAGTGGTAGGTAGAGCACTTGCCTAGCCATGTGTGAGGTCCTAGTTCTACTCCCAGCACTGAAAAAAGAAGGAGGAGGAGGAGGAGGAGGAGGAGGAGGAGGAGGAGGAGATAAAAGAAATCAAATAATAAAATGCACAGAAGTCTTTTTATACTTTAAAATAATTTTTTTTCTTATGCATTCAACATTTCTCTTCTTTGTCCTCTTGCAAATTATAATGCTTCTGTGTAGAATAACATGGTAGACCCTAAGCTCAAAATTATTTGTTCATTTGTTTAGGACTATTGGAAAGGAGATGGAGGAATTTTGGTGGGGGAGGTTGGAAAAGTGGAAAGGGAGAGAGTGGTAACAGGGAGTCCAGGACACTGCTTGCTTACTCCAGTCTTGTCTGGAGTCTGACCTAGGAGGTGGGAATGGTGTGCCATTTTCTATTCAGACAGTGGGGCAAATCCACAGGCATGGATCTCAGGGCCTTTTGTGTTTCTACAGAAAGAAAAGGCAGCCAAGGCTGACAAGGCTGCGCTCAAGGCAAGCAGGAAGCAGAGATCTGGCTCTGTGATCGGCAAATATATGGACAGCAGAGGGATTCTCAGAAGGTAAGTTGCCATGTACTCCTTCGTCCATTCATTCATCTCCTGCTCTTTGGGAGCCAGTTCTGGGCCTATGCTCAGTGCAGATTGGCTCTTGGTGATATGATCCTGATAGGGAGGCCTGAGGTCAGCTGCATGCACTCTCCTCGATTCTTTGAGGGCACAACACTTCCTCTTGTCACATCCATGCAGAGCAAACCCCTAGGACAGGGCATTGTCTTCTTGCTACCCCTCCCTAGTGTGTGCCTGTGGAGGACTGAATGGTGCTACAGACAACAGAATGAGGAGGGGAGAGGGATTCGAGGAAGAGAGTGATGGAGGGCAGTGCTGTTGTCTGTTGAGCAGAATGGACACACATAGTTTTTCAGGAATACGACTGTGTTGTCTGTAAAAGTTCATTGAAGTCACATGGAGTCTCCACTGGTTGAACTTTTTTTTTTTCTAATTTGTTTTTTTAGTTATACATGACAGCAGTTATCTATTTGGATAACTGTGAGTTCTAGTTGAACTCATAGAGAAAAGATTGGGGCTTTGAAGAACATTTCAGGGATTCATATTTAACTAACTCAAAGATAACATGTTTTGTTGCTGTTGGAAAGCACATGATTGAATTTGAGTACCCAAAGGGTTGGCCTATTACTCATTCATAGAGTCAAACCAGTCCCATGCCCCCTCCTCTTTTTGGCATGTGCTGTAAAAACATAGATGGCCACAAAAAGGTAGAAGCACACCTAGATGGCCACAGAGATGCAGGGGGAGTCAGACCCTTCAGGATCAGATCCAGGAAGAAAGTCTATAAACTTGCTCATGTAGAAGACCCTGAAGATTGCAAGCACAAAATAAAAAGATACACAAAGGCAAAGTGACTTTGGGAATGTAAATCAGCTAATCAGTAAAATCTGTGAGTCTGATTCTCATGAATTCCTTCTCTAAATAGCTGAATAATAAGGTACAATTTGGGAACAAAATTTATATAATAGTAGTTGCCCTGTTGGTCCCTCAGTACTGAAAGAATTCATTGATTGACTGATTCTGCAGGTCTTATTGATTATGTACTCCATACCAGACATTCATTTGAATTTTTTAAAGGCTCCAAAGAAATTATATGTGGATCCCATCATTAATATCCATTATTAAATTCTGATTTAGTGAATATTTTTGATTGCTTACTATGTGTATGTTATTGTGCCATGAACTGGATATGCAGGGGTAAGAAAAATAAACCCATCTCTGTTCAATGAACTTTGAGCTGAGTAGAGGAAAGAGACAATAATCCAATAAGCAACAAATTGTGAACTCTAAATTCCAATACAGACCCAGGCAGAAGTAGCTGCTCTCTCTACTGCTGGCAGAGAGCATTTGGTGGCAAAACCAAAAATGAACTTTATCACGCTAAGCTGAAGTTTTATAGAAAGTCAAGAGGACTTAAGAATTTCCCAAATAAAAAGCTTTTTCCAAGAAATGTTACATTTTAGGGCCTAAGTGGCTATTTCTTTTCTGATTGTAAGGCCTCTGAAAAAACTTGCACATTTGCTCACACATGCACACAAATATTCACACTGTGTGTAAATAAGCAGATGAAAATGGACAGGAATTCTAATTTGTTCTGCATCATACAACCAGTTAACAGGCTTGAGAGCATATATAGGAASCATGTTGGAAAGAAGCCAGTTGGCTTTTACTTAAAAATATGATTTTAGAAGGAAAAGTAAAGGTGTTTGAATTGCTACAGATCACTTATTTTTCTATCGAGAATCCAAACTAATTCATCACTGTTGTGAGCAAACACTGGATATTAATTTATCTTTCAGAATGCATTTTGGTTTTCTTTTCCTTCCCACTGTTTGTTCTTAGGAATAATAAATCTGATAAGCTAGGGGGCAAAGTAAAGATGTTTCTCTATTCTGTATATCCTGTGTCTTTCACTTGCTTTCCTTCTTTGGCTATGTCACCTCATTACTTTATCCCTATTCCATTCTGTTTTCTAGTTCGTGTGTGTGTGTGTCTGTGTGTGTGTGTGTGTGTGTGNTGTGTGTGTGTGTGTGTGTGTGTGTGTGTGTGTGTGAGAGAGAGAGAGAGAGAGAGAGAGAGAGAGAGAGAGAGAGAGAGATTGATTTGATTTTGGATATAAGATCCTGCCTGACAAATTTCCATCCCTTCTAAGACAATTCTCAGCTTTACTTGTTCACATAGACCTGAAGGAATGTCCATGCTCAGGAGGATCTGTGAGACTTTTGCTCTCAAAACCTTACAAAGGGCAGGTGTGTAGCCCAGGGTAGAGCACTTGCCTAGCATGTGCAAGGCCCCAGATCCAATCCTCAATACTGCAAAACAAATGAACAAACAAACAAAAATACTACTGAAAATATTCTGCCTTACAATGAAAGTGCATTTACTCTTCATTCCAGTGGCCCAGTACCCCCACCTCCTGCTGCTCCTCCTCACCACTAATGTTCAAATGCTTCTAGAAGCAAGCATGCACTTAGGTCCACTTACTCCTGGCTCTGATTTCTAGGGACACAGAAACGGGGAGAGGAAGGAAAGAGATGGACATGCCTTCTGACCCAGGGTCCCTTCTCAAGGGGCAGCTGCCTCTGAGCTGGTGGACACCTGCTGTGTACCCTCACCGAGCTGAGGAGGCTGTGTGAACCTGCCTGTTTTCTGTCCTGTCTCATCTGTGAGGCAAGGGTGGGGCCGAAGTCGGGGGGCCGGAGGAGTGGAAGCGCCTCACCTGATGGCACACAGATCATAACAGCTGGTGCTGGAGCGGAACCTGGCAGCTGATTGTCCATCTGGGTGCTTTATTCTGAGTCTGACGCGCCTTTCTTCACTACCTTCTCCTTCACAGGCCTCTCCCCACTTGTGAAAATGTGTTTATTTGTGTCACTTTTGCTTTGGTCTCCCTCTGACCCAGCACTCCATGAGGACGGGGCCTGTGTCCGCCCCGTCCTGCCTGGGTCTTAGCACCTGGGCACACTCTCCCCATCCGCAGCCTCAGGCCTGAGTGGGAGTGTGTGGAAGGTACGAGCTAAAGAATGATGGYTCTGTTGTCTTCCTTTCCTTTCTGGAGTGCTCTTCTCCAAAGCAAGGGTGCTCTTCAGCTCTCTGTCACGGAGGTCATCAGGCCGCCCTCGGCCTGGGTATTGTCAGGATTTCTGACATTCTCCCACGTGTCTTTCTCCCCCCTCCCAACAGCCAGTCAGAGGAGGAGGAAGATGTATTCAGCCTGCAGAGAAGGAAGAGCTCCCTGGGCCTGAGTGGATATCCTCTTATAGGAGAAGACTCAGGGGCCGGGGAGACAGGGGCTGGGGGTCCACCCCGCAGGGCCCTCCGCAGAATCATCTCCATTGAGGAGGACCCCCTGCCCCAGCTCCTGGGTGGTGGCTTTGAGCAGCCACTGAGCAAATGTCCAGAGGAGGAGGAAGCCTCTGAACAGGCAGGAGGAAGACAAATCCGGCAGGCCACGCCTTTGGAACTCACCCCCACATCTCCCAGAGGACAACCTGTTGGCAAAGAAGCCCTCTATAAGGTAAGGGCACAGCACGACTCAATTTGTAGACCTCACTCCTATGATCTGTCCCTGGCCTTTGAGCCCAGGAGCCCCATGGGGCTCGCAGAAGCTCACTTGTAGTAGGTCCTGTGATTCACCACATTTGTGTCTTACAAGTGCCACCTTCCCCTGCTTAGTTGAATGTCATGGGGAGAGACCCAGGGGTCCTGACACATTTCCTTTATAACTGCTATTTGCCTCATTCTCCATCCTTTTCTCTTTCTTCTGATTCAGATCTGAAACATTTATTGAGCACCTACTTAAGCTACACCTTCTGCTGGACTCTTAGCATACAACATCAGATACTTGCAAATGGAAAAGAAAATAAAGCAATAACAATAATCCCATCAGATACGTTCAAAGTTGCACAGTTTGTAACTGCTCTTGAGTTACAATCCCTGCATTAGAAAGTGTGTATACTGCATGGTGGTACACACCTATAATTCCAGCAGCTCAGGAGGTGGAGGCAGGAGGATCGCAAATTCAAAACTAGCCGCAGCCATTTAGCAAGGCCCTAAGCAACTTAGTGAGACCCTGTCTCTAAATAAAAATTTTTAAAGAGCTGAGGAAGTGGCTCAGTGGTTAAGTACCCCCTGAGTTCAAAACCTGGTAACAACAAAAAAGTGTGCATACCATAATTTTTCTCTTGGTTCTTAGGTTTTTAATCAGCTAATCACCATTTATTCTCTAATGTCTGTCCTGCGCATCCCTTCAGTGTGATCCCACCCACCTCCCATTCCCCACCAGGTTGCCTGCTAAATTCCACAGGGAGAAAGGAGACCATGTGAAAAGTCTTCTTCTGGCTTGTGGTAATGATATCCTTTTCCTCCTTTGTGACCTAAACCTCCAAATAAACTGCTCAGGTCCTCATTCTTTGCTTGGCCCTCTGAAACAACTCCAGAAATGTCATAGCAATGTGCAAGAGGCCATTACCGCTGAACTTCTTGACATTGGTGGCCATTTGGGGTCTGGGATACATGCCTAAATCTCACTCCTTTGAAGGTCTTATTACAAGGAAAAAGTGGGCAGCTGGGTAGCACCCACTGGTGGAGCCCCTTCCTCCAACATGCCCGTCCACATCTCCGTGCATGCTCAGACCTGCATGTGCTTTTCAGTGGGCACAGTGATGTTTTCAGTGCCTCTGGGTATCCTCCCAAAAGGTGAAGTGTCAAGAGGTCAGTAGGAGACAGGAGTAAAGAAAAAAGCTACACTTGCAAATCTGCTGAGGCATTATCTGATGCGGCCTATCAGAAACGCTTCTGCCCCCTTAACAGATGGGAAAGTAGGAGCCCTAAGGGCTGAGGCCCTGCCCCTCTGCTGGGCTCTTAGCAGAAGGGAGGGTGTGCTTTTAACGGTCACATTCTCATGTCTGTACTTTCCCTGTGAGTCCATGTTGCCATTTTGCTGGGAATAGAAACTGCGGAGAGGAAACATAATTTGCTAGAAGCCACATGACTGTGTCAAAGAGGGGCTGCTCTTTGGAAGGCTATGTGAGGCAGGCTCTGCTATACAGGACTGGGGAGGCATAAAATGGTACCAAATAGAAATGAAGAGTTTAAAAAATATATCTTTAGAACCAGCACTTCTAGAAATTTTTTTCCAAAGGAAATAACCAAAATTGGGTAAAGATTTAAGTCAAGAATGTGTTATTTAAAATAACACATGGTAGTCAGGATTATACCCAACAACTCAGGAGGCTGAAGCAGGAGGATCACAAGTTCAAGGCCAGCCTCAACAACTTGATGAGGCCCTAAGCAACTTAGTGAGACCCTGTCTCAAAATTTTAAAAAGTGAGGATGTAGCTCAGTGGTAAAGCACCCCTGGATTCAGTTCCCAGTACCAAATAAACAAACAAACAAATAAATAAATAAAATAGCATATGGCTGAAAAATCACCCAACCATCAATTATACTGTATTAATTTAATGGAATAGTATACAGTTGTTAAAAATCACATTTTTTAAAAAAGCAACTCGAAGAAATACATATAATTTAATAATTATGACAAAGAATGAAATTAGAGACAGGTGCAGTGTCACATGCCTGTAAGCCATCATCTTTGGAGGCTGAGACATAAGGATCACAAGTTCAAAGCCAGCCTCAGCAACTTATCGAGGCCCTAAGCAACTTAGCAAGAACCTGTCTCAAATTTTAAAAGGGCTGGGGATGAGGCTTAGTGGTTAGGTGGTTCAGTACCCCTGGGTTCAATCCCTGGTACCAAAATATATATATATGACTATGACAAAAGAAGATACAACTATATATCATTCGTGTAAGTATGTATACTTATATTTTATGTAAAAAATATCTCAAATCTCCTTAAATAGGGTAGATGATGAAGGATTATTTTTTCCTTCCTACTTTTCTGTATTTCCTAATTTTAAAAATTAGTACATATTACTTTCATTTTGGGGAGTTCTTTTTTAAAAAGGCATATATGAGGGAAGATGAGCGCACCTCCCACCCCCAGCCGAGGTTTCCTTTGTCTCAGCCTGCAGCCCAGTTCACTGTTACCAGCAGGTGGATTGTCCCTCAGATGGGACAGCAGGCCCAGTGCCCGAATGTGAGCAGTGGGTCGCTGCTCTTCTGAGGTAGGCCCTGCCTGAAGCTGAACCTCTTTGTGTTTGTTTGTGGGCCTGCAAAAGGAAGCCCTCTTCCCAGGGGAAAGGGATGGAAACCACAGAGTTAAGGGTCAGGCAGTGCCTTGGCCACCAGGACAGCCTCCTCCTTCCTGTGCTCCCCATTCTCCACCTGTGTCTGTGCCTGGGGGTAAACAGATGGGTGTACTACATTTTAATCTCAAACAAATGATAATTAGAGGCACGGGGACAAGATGCTGGCAGAGAACCAGTGCCCTTGTGCTTTGCATGAATAAATAAAGTGGGGCAGGGAGCATTATTTTTGAGTGTGGGTTGTTGTTGTTTCTTTTAACTTTTAGTTTACATTCCTGTAGTTGACCTTGAGTTTCTTCCTAAGTTCTGCATGAAATAGATTTCTCCCCCAAAGGTTGCTAGTGGTTTTTCTCTAAAACTCAAGCGCTGCTAATATCCGCTGCTGCTCCTTCATTATAGTATTTGCTCAATRAGAGCAGCTAACTTCCCCCAAAATCCACTTTTAAATCGATTCCAAAGAGCTCCTCCTTTGGCCAGGCAGGGCTGAGCTGGGCTGCAGGCAAGGCTCGGGAGAGCAAGCTGTGCTTTGGAAGGAAGAACCGACCACTCAGCAGAAGGGAACCCGTGCAGGATAGCCACCCACTCTTTATACCACCTCCTATGCACTTGGTGTCCAAGAGCAAATCTGTCCCATTTCTGCCTTTTAATGTCTTAGATTGATAGGCAGGTTGGTTCCCAGCTCTGTCCCTCTGTGGGTCAGGGAGAAGCAGCACTGTTACTGGCTGCGTCTGGGAACATCATGGGACTTCCCAACTTACTGAGTGGAGGCCATCATTACTGGAGGAAGATGTCACCCAGAAGACACAAGAGCCAGGTGCAGGGAGGCAAGAGTGTCCTCCTTCCATCCAGACTTTCAAGGACAGGGCAAATGGGGATATCTCTGTACCTGACTAAAGACTAGGCCTTCTTCTCTCCATCTCTCTTTCCCCTGCAAACGCCCCAGTGTGTTCTTCCCCACACAGAGGCTTCCTGGCTCCTCCGCAGGCCCTGCTCTCTGAACGCTTGGCTCCTCGCTATGCTCTCAGAACTCATGGAGCATTATGCTTTAATAGTTTGTTTCCATGCCTGCCTCCTCCTCTGCACCTCAGCCAGGGCCTGCCTCCTCCTGGGTCACAGCAGGGGGGCTTCCCTTGGTTGGTGGCTATTTCTCTTCCCCTCTACTGATGCCAGAAGGAGCTTCCATGCCACACCTGGGCCCTGACTGCATTCTGGGTCTGAAGTGGCAGCCCTGGTGCTATCTTCTGTGGAGCCCAGCAGAGACAGGTGAAGGGTGAGTCCTGGCAGCAGCAGGGGCTAGTGGACGTGCCCAGGAGGTGACCAAACTGTCTGCCCTCAGCAGGAGGAAAGCTCTCCCTCGACCCCAGACCGGCTCTTCAAGATTGTGTTTGTGGGCAACTCAGCGGTGGGGAAGACATCCTTCCTCAGGAGGTTCTGTGAAGAACGCTTCTCCCCAGGCATGGCGGCCACCGTCGGTGAGTTCTGTCCCAGAGAGGAATTAGGAGCCCACAGGAGGGGCCGTGGGACTGGCTGGTAGGGACACTAGTGTCTGCTGTGTTCGATGGTGGCCTAGGACACCATCTGGGACATTGCTGGGACATTGCTGGCCACTGAGCTCATTTGCGTGTGATGGAAGCCCTGAATGCTCCATAAACTAGCCCTGGGTTTCTGGGATGAAGGTGGGCAAAGATGGATTTGGGGCCCTTTTATTGTGTGAGCTCCCACCCACCTTGCACAGCTCCTTCCCCCTTGTCAGCAGGACCCAGAATCTTCATGCTCCCCCAGGACTGACCAGGGCTTCTCCAGGGACTCACGCCCTGCCACCACACCCCTCTGCCTTTGAGAAGGGACTGGTACTTCCTTGCCTTGCCCCTTCAAGTGCACACAAGTGTGGTGTGTGTGTGTGTGTGTGTGTGTGTGTGTACACAGATGTGTCACAGTGTTCTGCTTACCAATTGAATTTTACCTGTCCTACATCCCAGTCCTGCTGGGTGACAGCTGGAATTAATTGTGTAAGCTCGTTAGGCTTAGCATTAATGGATGATCATGGCTGGATGTATTCCCACTCTTGGATAATATTTTACTTAAATAGAGGCTATTAATTGCTTCACCCTAAGTTGCACATTGCATTGGAATACGTGGCAAGACCCAAGGGCATATTGACCTTTTAGCTTCCACCAAGTCGAATCACTCAACAAAAGATAAATACATTGAAGGGCTACCATGTACTATTTAACCCAATGGAGAAACCAACTGTACTTAATGTATTTAGATGATCTGAGCATTGACCAAGGACTGTTATGTTCATCATCTCAGTCTGTCTTCCTAACACCCTTAGGACAGGTATTGTTATTAGCACAATAGTCAGATCAGGAGACTGAGGCCCTGAGAGGTTAAGAGGCTTGAACACACTTCTGTCAGTTGGTTAATACTAATCCCTAATCCCCCCAACACACCTTCTATCCCATTCCACAGAGCCCCCAATAACATCGAGTTGTATGCACTGGTACTCTGTGGGTGATGGGGACCCTTCTCTGCCTTGGGAGCAAGGAGAGGTTGGTGCAAGCAGGAGAGGCTGTGGAGGTTCAGTGAGATATCACATGTCCTGTGTCCTCCTCCAGCTCTGCCACTGACCAACTATGTAACCTTGAGAGGACATGATCCCTCTTTGGGCTTCAGTTTTCTGTCATCTGTAAGCGGAGTGATTATTTCCAGGTGGTGAGGCAGGAATTAATGACCGTGGGGAGGACGCGCCTCCTCTGGAGATCACTCCAGGCAGTGGGCCCAAGTCATGGCTCCAGCACAGATGGGAGGCAGGGGCATGGACAGCCTCAGACCCTTCAAGGCCTGCTGCCACCCCTCCCAGCACTGTGTCTCTCGTGTCAACAAGATCAGGTTCCATTTACATTTTCAACCTGTGGCCCTGAGATGGAAGGCCCTGAAAAAGAGAAAATCAGACTAATTTGCACTTCCCAAGAGACCAATTATGGAAACACAGACAATTTAGGAAGTGGGAAAAAAATCAAAGTTTCCAAATCAGGAATGCCCTTCATCACCCTGCTCAAAACACACGGGGCTGCTGCTCATGTTGGTTTCCCTTTCCCTGTGCCAGTGTCTGTGAGCAGATGTCACACCAGCCATTGCAGTTTTCCTTTAGGGAGATGTAGTAGTCACACATCCCCCTAAGGCCAAAGCAGTCCAACTCTAGAACGGGGCTCTGGACCGTCACCTGTCAAGGGCAGCAGCCACAGCTCCACCCAGTAACAAGGACCGGACTCTTCTTTCACACTCCATCCTCAGAGGGTCTTGTTGATTTCCTGGTCTCCCACACCCTCCTCAGAACATGGTGTACTGGACTCTTGGTTTGTGTGTAAGTGAGTTCTAAAATACAGCACGTGACTCAAGTTATCCTACCTACCCCACCTTAGGAGCCAGCCTRTTCCTTCAAGAGCAGCTGCCTGGGCCTGTGAATGTCTTAGAGATATTAAATGATGGGTTTGTAGAATGCTGGCGCTGGAACAAACCCTATAGGTAGTCTGTTCATATCCTGTCCTGTTGTACCAGAGAAAACTGAAGTCCACACTCAGGCCGAATATTAGAAATGAAAGCTCACTAGTACCCAGGACTCCAAGCTGGTTCTCGACCTGCCTGCTTTAAATCACACTCCAGAGCCCAAGGTATTTCTCCTTGAAGCATTTCCTGACAGAATGCCCTTTGTCCTATTTGGCATCAGTCTGATTTCTATCCCACTCCACCTCCTTCCAGAGAAATCCCTGGAGCATCTCCACCTTGGGCTTTTCTCCATGAAAACACGGTGGCACGCCCTACTCCACATCTCTGCTACCCAGTGACAGTATGAGCCTGTCTTCTCCAGAAAGGTTACTGTCACCTTCTGGGGGGTCTGCCTCTAATCCATACCACTTCTACAATGCACTTCCAGTGACAGGGCTCCTGACTTCACCTGTCATGCAGGAACCAATCAGCTTGCAACTGAAGGTCACCTTAGTGTGGTCATTGACTGCTACAGCTGAACTTAAAGATCATGAGCACCCAACTTAGCCCCCCACACACCCTCCATCTCACCTCAGTCAACAGAAGAAGAAAGTGAACCATCCTCAAATGAGGTGAAGTCATGTCACCATGGTCACACTGCTGGGCAATGGCAGGAACACAGAACTCAGGTTCCTTGATACCTGGACCTTTGGAGCTGGTGGTGGTCTTAAAATCAGTTTGATCCAGGGCCTCTGACCCCATGCTCTTAAGTGCTGCCTCTTCTGTTGGACTCTTGTACTCTCCTGCCACAGGTGTGCATGTGCTGTGTCTCCATCCGCACCTCCTCTATTTTCCTTGTATCTTCTGACCATACGCCCAACCCCTGTGGGCTTGTCTGCTTCCTTGGCCTGCCCATCTGAAGCTGCAGAGATGCACATTGCATGTCCCGCAGGGAGTCTTCCCAAGCTCACCACACACAGAACACATTTTCCCAGCACCCCTATGTCTACCCCACTTCCTGTGACACAGAGCTCCCCATCTTCCAACAAAGTACCTAACSGGTGAGGTAGAGCAGGTGTGCTGAGGGCAGCTCCCACCTGCTGACCCTCCTGTGTGTCTTACCAGCAAGCAAGGGCTGTCCTTTGGGGCTTTGGACCCATCAGCTGGTTTATATCTATCCCTGCAGGGGTGTGGGGGTATTGAGCATTGTGGACTTTCTCCTGAGTAGTTATCAGAAAGAGGGAAGCCCCTTCAGTCTCAGCACAGACCAGGGAAGCTCCTCTGCTTTCGCCAAGAAGAAAACTCACCCTTGTCATCCTTTTTTGTTGTTGTTGTTGTTGTTGTTCAGATTTGGGGGGGATGGTACTGGGGATTGAACCCAGGGGCACTCAACAACTCAGCCACATCCCCAGCCCTTTTTTATATTTTATTTAGAGACAGGGTCTCGCTAAATTGCTTAGGACCTCACTAAATTGCTGAGGCTAGCTTTGAACTTGTGATCCTCCTGCTCAGCCTCCCTAGCTGCTGGGAGTACAGGCATGTGCCACCATGCCTAGATCTGTCCTGGTTTTTATTGGTGCATTATAATTACCAATAATAGTGAGATTTGTTGTTATGTACTTGTACATGCAATGCAGTATAACAATGTAAAATGGTGAATTCTATCCCCCAGTGCCTCTCCTTTCCCTGCTCCCTCTCCCTGGTCCTCTTCCTCTATTCTTCTGGTCTCCCTTCTATTTCATGAGTTACCCCCAACACAACACACACACACACACACACACACACACACACACACACATACACATACTTTTGTTTTCCTTTATTCTCTCTAGCTTCCACATGAGTAAAAATCTACAAGTCTTGGCTTTCTAAGTTTCACTTATTTTGTTTAACCTAATGATCTCAAGTTCTGTCCATTTTCTGCAGTGACATAATTTCATTCTTCTGAATAAACTCCACTGTGTATAAATACCACATTTTCTTTATCCATTCATCCCTTGACAGACGCCTAGGTTGGATCCATAATTTGGCTCCTGTGAATTGTGCTGCTATAAACATGGGTACACATACATTGCAATAGCATGCTGACTTTAGCTCTTTAGGATAGGATAGTTCTTCAGTTCTGGGTCATATGGTGTTTCCATTCCTAGTTTTCTAAGAGGAACTTCATACTGATTTCCATAGGTCATCTGTTTGATGGGAACACTTGGCGCTGAGCTTTCTGGGTGCAATGAAACACTGGGCATCCTGTGCTTGATGCACTGTTGTCATAGAGCAGTGAGCCTCAGAGCTGGGCTTGCACCTCGCAGCAGCTGCTGGCCAGCTCGGGCAGGGCACAGCTGCTGGGCTGCTGCTCCTCCATCTCTCCATGGTACGTGTGTGTACATGTGCGTATGTACATATGTGTGTGAGCAGAGAGTACCCCCCTCATGGATGTCACAGGGACAGTGAAGATGGAAACCCAGCCAATGGAAACTCTGGAAATACAAAGCATTCAGCTTTTTTTTTTTTTTTCTCAGTGTAGAAAAACCCACTCCTGTCTCACCCTCACCTGCGAAGCAAAGGGCTTCTAGAGTCCCTGCTGGTTCTGACATTCCAGAGGAGGATGACCCTTGCCTCTCCTATACTCACAGCTCCTTCAGTGCCCTGGCCCCTGCTGCCAGTGCATCCAGCAGGGGCTGGATGACATTTTCCATTTCCTGCCTCTGCATTATCTGTCTGGTCTCTTCTGTGGCTCTCTGTCCCAGCTGCTATTGTTCTTCCTTTTCCTGAGCTCTCCAGGGCTAGGACCTCACAGGCCTTTCTGAAGGTGGGAGAGGATCCCTCAAGGTACTTAAGAGGTACTTAAGATCAGGTACTTAAGAGCTGAGACTTTTGGAACATCTTTATGCATTTGTGAACATTCTTAGGTGTGGTTAAAAGAGAGGACTGCCTAGTATTAAAGAGCCTTATTGAGGTCCTTATATCCAAGGGCTGATGTCAGATACAAAATACATATCACTCTCTGAGGTAGAGGACCCCAGGGGGCATCACACCCCTGGAGAGAAGATTGTCAATGGCCCATGATGGATTAGCATTCTAAACTATCTCAAGGGCCAATGTAACCCTTCACTCCTCCTGCCGTGCTTCCTCCCTTCCTTCTTCCTCCTCTTCCCCACACATCTTTGAACCCACTGATGGAAATCTTAAAGTATGACCCAAACTCTCAGGGTGTTTGAATTTTATTAGGGAAACTTTGAAAGGATTTTATCTGAAAGAAGAAAGAGAGAAGAGAAGGGAGGATGGAAGAAAGAAAGGAGGAAAGAAGGGGAGGAGAGGAGGGAGGGAGAGATGGAATAAGTTTGGGGACCTTCTTTCCTCCTCTGTCATTTTTCCCAATGAAGAAGTAAGTTCATGAATACTAACAATTGCCTGTGCATTGACGCGTTGATTTTATGATTATGGTCTGGATCCCCTAAAGACCTTGAAGATTACATTACAATGAGGAGCTTGTAGTTGGAAGAGGTTAAGTGACTGGACCAAGGTTCCACAGCAGAAAGAGCAGAGACAGGACCAGAACTCAGTCCCCTCACCACCCAGTCAGTCCTGTGCTCTAGGCATTTTCCCACACTGCTTCCCAGAAACTACAGGGGCAGGTCATCAGCCCAGACCTGACATGATATCACCCTGGCATCATTTCCTGAGGTGGAAGTGAGGATGCCTCTGGCCCAGGGCAGCCCTGACTGGCCTGTTCCACCCACAGGCATTGATTATCGCGTGAAGACAGTGAATGTGGACGACTCCCAGGTGGCCCTGCAGCTGTGGGACACAGCAGGGCAAGAGAGGTGAGGAGCTGCCTCTGGAGGCCTGGGCTGCCGGGAAGGCCGTGCACCCTGACCCCTGGCCTCCTGTGGCAGGTATCGCTGCATCACCCAGCAGTTCTTCCGGAAGGTGGACGGCGTCATCATCATGTACGATCTCACGGTCAAGCAGTCATTCCTGTCCGTCCGGCAGTGGCTGAGCAGCGTGGAGGTAACGATGGCCACCTCCTAGGGTCCCTCCTACTTGCTATTACTTCTTCTTTCTTCCCTGCCCACTCCCTCCTAGCCCTCTGTGCTTTCACATCCCGATTCGGAATTCACCTGCCCAGGAACAAACCATGTCAGGCAATTACTCACCTGGTCATCCAGGTTCCCAGGGCCACACTAGTGAGTCAGAAGCCAACAAGGCAGACACAGTTCCCACTCTCAGGGAGAGAGGGGACACGAGAGAAATACTGATTATACCAGTGCTCCAGTTTGAATGTTCCCACCAAAACTCATGGTGAAATTTACCCCTATTGTGAGTCCAGACAACTGTGCACCAAGTACAGGGACTTACTTAACCCACCCGGTATTAGAAGTGGGACTGTTGGGTTACAAGAGGCCCTAAGGTTGCTGCCCTAATCCATTGGGACTGTGGCTTTATAAGAAGTAGAGAAGAAACCTGAGCAAGGGTGCCTGTCTCACCATGTGTCCCTTGTGGGGCCTTGGGACCTATCAGTGACAAGGACCTCCCAGACATAGGAACTGTGTTCCTTGCATTCTGGATTACCTGATGTTGAGTTTCCCAGCCTTCAGAGCCATAAGCTAGATAAGCTTTATTCTTTACAAATGCCTCAGTCTGTGGTGTTCAGTTACCCAACACAGACACAGAGTGAGACAGCCAGTGATCACGTCCTTACAATTGCTGGGCGCTAGAGTAAGGGGGATTTTTCTGGTGGAGGGGCACAGAAGAAGGTTCCCCTGAGGAATCAGTGTTTAAGTTGAGTCACAGATTAATTCTTCCCGTATTCTTTTTTTAATGAAATTTATTTTTTTATTTGTTCTTTTTAGTTACACATGACTGTATAATGTGTTTTGACATATCATCCATACATGGAGTATAACTTCCATTCTTGTGCTTGTATATGATGTGGATTCACTGGTGGTGTGTTCATATATGAATGTAGGAAAGTTATGTCTGATTCATTCTAGAGTCTTTCTTCCCTCTTTCACCATCTCTCTCCCACCCCCTGAGTCTTTATGGCTCTACGGGGTCCAGCTACACCCCGTCCAAGAGCCACTCCATTCAGTGTTCAGGGGCCTCTGTCACCACCCTTCCCACAGAGGAGCATGATCAATGGCATAAGGGTTCCAAGCTTCCCCCACAGCCAGAGACCTGCTAGGGCTCTGAAGCCACTGTGTTCCTTGCATTCTGGATTACCTGCAAGATCTACCTTCTTGATTCATAGTGGCTATATATTGCCTTGTAAGTGCAAAGCACTTCCTGTTCAATGGCAGGTTCTTCCTATAATTCTTCCAGGCATGTTCTCAAGGCCAAGGGTGGTGTGGATACACCACTTATCACTTTCACAAATTACTCAGGTAGCATGTACTAATCACTCCAGTATCAGGATCCATCATTTGTTCGTGCATTTGTCAAAACACCACCAGGTCCTTCTCTACGGACCAAGAATTAAAGCAGTAAATAAAAGAGGCAGAGCTCCTGCCCTCATAAGGGTGTGTTCAGCCTCCTGCTCCAAGCTCATGAGGCCTGAGTAGCCCTGTCACATACTTGTCACTGTGGTAAATCCCATGCTCCCCATCTGAATCCCCTGCCAGACCCTGTGCCTCCTGAAAACTGGAGCTGCATGATTGTAACAGGGTGTTTGGTGTGGGGCCCCAAGTTATTAGGGGAAGAATGAATGGATAGATGCTCTTTTGTTGTAAAGATGTGACAATGGACTTACTGATTTCTTCATCCTTTTTGCACTGAGATCTATTATTTCTCTCTGTTTTTTGTGTGACTTTGAAGGGCTGAGCCACTCTCTTCTACTATTAATCTGCACCCTTCCCATTACCAAGAAAAAAAAGGAACAGAATGGAAGCCAGATTCAAGGGTTTCTCAGAAATTTTCTTAATACAAACCAGTTCTCAAACAATGACTGTGCATAAAACATAAATGAGGAGCCGGGCATGGTGGCACACACCTATAATCCTAGCAGCTCAGGAGGCTGAAGCAGGAGGATTGAGAGTTCAAAGCCAGCCTCAGCAACTTTGTGAGGGCCTAGGCAACTCAGCAAGACCTGTCTCTAAATAAAATATTTTAAAAAGGGCTGGGGATGTGGCTCAGTTGTAAAGCGCCCCTGGGTTCAATCCCTGGTACTCCCCCCAACCCCACAAAAAATATAAACACAAATGAGAAAATGTAAGTTCTGAAATATAGTGGATCATCTATACTCCAAGCTAATAATGGCCTACAGACAATCGATTCCTTTTTCTCCTCTTCTTTCTCTTCATTGTTGTGGGCGGCACCAGGAGAACCATCAGGGGCTATCTAACCCAGCAGTCTTCAGACTTGTGTTCTCAGAGCCCTGGAGTCAGACTGATAATCCCTGGAATGTCAATGGTCACAGTTCTGGTCCCCTCATCTCCCTTTCTCAGTCAGCTCTGCTCAGTTTCTTTTGGCTTTGTATACTTACTGGAAGTCTAGGTATAGTTTTATTAGACAAAAGTGTTTCCCTTTGAAAATCACCAATTTAGGTCAATCTGGTATACCTGTCTCATTCTAGAATGAGACAAAGCCACCTGTTCTTTTTCCAGAGGCATTTAATTCTGCCCTAATATCTATGATCTATACTAGAATGGTCAGAGACAGTCCAGGATTCATAAGAGTGGATGGACACACATTTATGGAACTGTGATCTCTGCCATCATTAAGGGTATAGTTTCTAGGGATCTTGAGAACTGGGATCTAGGGAGAGAAGGAACAGCAGGTTGAATTCAGTGGTGGAGGTAGAGGTGAAGAAATCTCGGAAGGCCATCTTTGCAGCTTGGGGCTCAATCATTGTCCAGATAACTGTGTACTGAGCACAGGGTGTTTAGTGATTCCTTGGTGGGAAGGGGCTGACAGCGCCATCAGCACACTCCTGGTAAGATGCCCCACAGAAGCCTTGGAGCAACCCTGGGCTTCAATGCCAGGATGAGGTGATAAATCCACACTTGGATAACTCAGGATTATCTAACTGTGCCTAATTTGTAGTCAGAGTTTTTCATTTAAAAAATTTTTAGCAGGAAGTATAATTAAACTCTAAACCATGATTYGAACTCCAGATAAACATCAGGATCACCTTTAGACTTTTAAACAATGCTGATCCTAAGAACTTCTTTTCCAAACAGATGATCCAGGGCCTAAAAATTTATATATGTATGTGTATATACATACATACAGTTCCCCTGGTGGTTTTGATTCTCAGTCATCCCAGCCCAAACAAGTGCTTCTCAAACTCCCCTCTACCTGTTAGATTGCAGGTTATGTCAGTAAAACTAGGCTGGGGCTGAGATCTTATATTCCTATAAAAATTCCACGGAAGGACAATGCTGCAAGTCCATGTACGACTCTTTGAGTAAAAATGCTCTGAATCCTTTTCAAAGACATTTGTGACCCCTCACCAATAATTTGCTGAACATAAACTGCGTGCCCAGCATTCACTTGGCATTCCAGAGATTTCCATATGATAGACCAGGAAATGCACTCAGCTCAGTGGCGCAGGGTTTCAGCAGCAAGCACAGGAGGCTGTGTCAAGTGGCAGAGTGTGTGTTGAAGGTGTGGAACTGAGGCATCATAATGCAATTATTCTCCTGATTCTTGAAAAGCTAAGTCATTCTGCCTTGGCAACCAGCAATCAGAGATGTCAGGTGATAGATTAAAACTTGACACCTAATTTGATCTAAGGAGAACTGAAAATAATAAGTACTTTATATTTGTGGAGCACCTTATTTTTCCAAAGAGCTCCAAGCACTTTACTAACTCCCTCGCCTGGGGAAGGAGGATGGAGGGGGAGCGTTAATAACAGTCTTCATGGTTTTCAAGCCTTATTATTAACTGAATGGTGGCCAGCTGTTCGCAGTGCCCCTTCCTCCCTCAACCTGAAAAGCAGTACCAGAAAAGAGGCCTTAAATTTCCATACATGCCATAGATGGGCAGCAAGAGTTTGTGTGGGGTAGGAACAGATGCTTCGGGGGAGGCAATGGGAAAGGAAGTTCTTACCATCCCAGCTCAGCCACTTCCTGGCCATGAAACTCTGGTCAGTCATTCAGTGGAGAGTAGATCAATGATCTGAAATGTTCCTACTGACCCCAAATTCTACAGTAGATGGCACTGGACTCTTTTAAGGAGGCCAAGATAGAGTGGGAGTATGTATGAATGAGAGGACCTTTAATCCTTTCTGCTAAAGGGAATCAAAATCCTCATGCAAGAAAATACCTACAGTGTTAGTCTATTTTTCATTACTATGACAAAATACCTGAGGAAAGCTACTCATAAAGAAGTTTACTTAGCTCACAGTTCAGAAGGATCAAGGGAATGTCACCTGCACTGACTTAGCTCTGGTGAGGACCCTCTTGGCCACATCACATCATGGCAGATCACATCATGGCAGGAGCAAGTGTGGGAGGAATAAATTATATCACCAAACAGGAAGCCAAAAAGAAGAGGAGGGGTCAGGCATACTGTCTTTATGACAACCTTCTCAGGAGAACTAAGCAAGATCCCATAAGAACTACCTTCATCTTTTCCAAGGACACAGCCTCAATGACCTTATGCCCTCCCACTGGTCCCCACCTCTCAAAGGTCCCACCTCCCAACATCATACTGAGAACCACTACACCTTCCTTTCTGGATGAGGTGGGAGGCTTCTGCCCTCAGGACTGTTCTACCAGTATTCACTCCACCTGGGCAGCTTCCCCTTGCCTTCAGATCCTCTGAGAAGAGGCTAAGCTGGATCCAGCAACACTCTGCCAATTCTCCAGTGCACCTTGTAGGAAGTCAAAGCAGACAGTCACTCGTGCCAGTTCTGTATTCCCAACCCACCCCCAGCCCTTCTCATCTCCATTGGTAGAGCTAGTCTAACCATCCCAATTTGGAAAAGACATTTCTTAGGCCCTAGGTGCTCCATATTAAGACCCTGGGACAAACTAGACCTCTGAAGACCTTGAGACCTATTTCAGATA